CCGCACGCGCCTCCCCGGCCTCCGCGACAGAGGCCTACCTACCCGGCACGCTGACGGACGCCGCGAGCACCCGCAGTGGGGAACGACGCCCTCCGCCGACCCGCTCAAGTCTCCCGCCTCCACCCAGCCAATCGCCAGCCGGGCGCTGAGCATGCGCACCACCGCGCAGCGTCGGGGCGTTCCCCGACTCTGATTGGACGACCTTTCCCAGCGCGTCGGCTTTGCACTTCCTTTTACTTGCGTCCGGGTTTGATTCCGGTTGGCTTCTAGATCTAAAGCATACTGGTTTGGTTCCAGTCTCCAGTCTTCAGATTCTAGCTGAGGCGACAAACTTGACGATTTATGTGGACATAAATCAGTAAATTATTATTTGGATCATAGAAGTGTGTGCACCACTAAGGTACACGGAATCCTGTTAGTTATTCATTCATTCAAATGTCATTGATTAGATGCAGTCCCTACGATGTTTACAAGCCCTTTTAAGTTCTAGGAGTATAAAAATAAATGCGTGGTTATTGGACTCTCGTAAAAGGTAGAAGGGCTCCTTTGGACTTGAAAAAGCCGTGAAGTATTATTGTAAGCAAGGACACGGTATCATTCAGAGGGTTTTCCAAGTGAAGTTCCAAATGCTACAGTGATATACCGTCTGTCAGCCCTAAGAAATCTGGAATTAGAATTAGCTGGGCGGTGGTAGCGCACCTTTAACACCAGCACTCGGGAGGCAGAAACAGACAGGTCTCTGAGTTGGAGGCTAGTCTGGTCTACAGAATAAGTTCCGGGCCAGCCAGGGCTACACAGAGAAACCCTGTCTCAAAAAGAAAAGAAAAACAGGAAAAGGAGGGAGAGAGAGAGAAAGAGAAAGAAAAAAGGAAGAGAAGAGAAAGAAAAAAATCTGGAATTAGTCTGAAAAGAGAAAGTGGCTAAAGGTCATTCACTGAATTGTATCCAACAGTTTAACAAAAATTAAAAAGCTTTAAAAAATGAAAGATTTAATGAATATGTGAAATAATGAGAATTCGTGGTGCTGTTAGAAATATAAACAGGTATGTTCATTTAAGTAGTAGTTTGACAGCAGCTAATTAAAAGGAAAGGTATGCCTTAAATTTGGCTTTTGTCCTAGAGTCATTTCCAGTCCTAAGGAGACACTTCATAAATTGAATCTAGCTTCTGGCAGCTCCGGAGGTCAGGGTTATAAAAGTTGGAAAGTGGGACCTGCTACAGTAAGATGCCCTCCTAAACCATACCACCCCTCCTTTCTCTAAGGAACACAAAAGAAAAGCAGTGGGACGGGGAACAGTCTAATTAGTGTCTGCAACCTATCTTTAATGCCATCTGTCCCTAGCCAGTCTCTACTCACCTCCTACTTCACCCCAACTCTGTTGCACAATTTACACCCTTTTCCCTAGCACACTTGCTTCTTAAATGTCTTCGTGTGCCTCTCAATGTGAGAGGTATTTTGAGCAGGCTTTTGCTTTGTTCCCTGATAGAGTGTTTTGTGGTAGCTAAGCATGCTGTGCAGACAGCACACCACAGAGGAAGAAGAGTGACAGTTGTTTTTCACACATCAGAACCAGTATCAGAATCGCTAAGGAATCACTCAAACACGGATTTAAATTCTGCAGATCTGAACCATTTCTAACAAGTTCCAAGAAACACTGATACTGCTGATCCAGACCACACTTGGAAACCACGAGATGAGGCTATTCTCAGGCACCTCTGGCGGGGATAGAGGCTGGCCAGGGAAAATGGACGTGTGCTTTAACACCTAGAAGTCTGGATGAACTTCAGGACAGTGACAACCAGTGGCCATTCAGAGAAGGAAGATGAAGAACACCGAAGGTGGCCCCGAGGCAGCTGCACACTGGCATGGCAGGTGGAGCTTACTAGGCAAAGGTGGCACCATGTCACAGAAGGGTCTTGCAGATTGGACAGGTAAAAAGGTTCCTGTTTCTTGTTGGTGCAGGTGCAGCAGGGGCCTGCCAGCCTGCCCTGTTCTCTGACCTGTCTCTCTTGACTGTTCAACATGTTTCTTTGGTCTCTGCATTTTGGATTCCTCCACATTATATTTTTATTTTTGATGTCTGATCTTTTGGGACTAAATAAAGATTTAAGGACACAATAGAGTCTTATATAAAATTGATCTTACCATGTTTTTAATAATTCTCAGTGATAGAGTACTCATCTAGAATGTGTAAGGCCCTTGGTTCAATCCCCTACATAGAAAAAAAAATGACCCTCTTACATTGATGTCTAACACATCATAATATCTTGACACAGTGACAAACACAAACTTTTTAGAATGAATCAAAAACCTCAATCCTTTAGATTTACCATGCTATGATCACGCTTCAGAGTACCAAGTACCCAGAGTTCTCAATAAATAGTGTTTATCTGATGCTTCCTCCAAGTGCAACAAAATTCGTTGGTGTGCTTATTAAAAAAAAAAAAAAAAAAAAAAAAGGAGGAACACTGGTGTTACAAGCAAGCTTTATTCTGTGTTAAAACACGTGTATCTTTTCGTCGGATCGTCTTTGTTTTATGTGCATTTGTGTCGGTCCCTGTGTGCATAGGCTTAAAGCCAAAGTTCGAATGACCTTGGAGTAAGGTCTTAATCCTTTCCCTCTGCAAACCTACAATCGGGGGAATCTTACCAAAACTACAAACTTCTTTACAGTGAAAACATGTTTTCCCTCCCTTGTGATCTGTCATCCTACCCAGTACACCTCAGTAACTAGCCCTGTGATGGCTAGTCTTGGTTGTCAACCTGACTATATCTGGGATGAACTACAATCCGGAAATGGAGGGGCACACCTGTGATCCAGATCTGAGTTTCAGGACATCCAAGAAGAAAGAAACCTTTTGAACAATGTAACTTCAGAAGCCACCTGCATTATATAATGACTATCGTTAAGATATTTAGTGTGACTCTTTCTTGAGAAGCCCACACCCACACTCACTTATGAACCTAAGAGGAGCCATTTCTATTAAAGCCTTGCTGAAATCTATACTGACATCTCTTAATAAACTCAAACTTTGCTTTACATTGACTTCTGAAATTATTTTCTATGGCAGAGTGAAGAATGCCAGCCTCACCCGAGTAGAGATCTCTGATGAGAGCTCTGGCTGCTGCAGATGGAAGTATGAAGTTGTCTCTGCCCCCACTCAGCTGCTGTTATGGTGCTCCCTTTCTAGAGGCTGTCAGAAAATCATGTCAATCCTTCCAGACTGTCCTCTCTTGACGATGGCCCAGGATCTGACTGAGGGGATCAACCAGAATTCAGCTGGGGACAGATGAAACCCAACTGCCTGCAGGGGGAAACTAGCTTATGGGAAATCTATTTCTTCAGTCACTAGTTGAGCTTACCTCACAATGCTGTCATTCAGATTGAAGGATGGGGAAAAGGAAACCCAAGTTGATGAGAGACTCGCTGAAGTTATTTCAGTCTTCCCCTAAAGGCACCAAAACGTCTAGTTATCTAACAAGTTCAGGGGCGAATATCTTTGTGTGTATTCCCTTTCTCTGGTACACACTTGCTCATGTGCACATCACAGGTCTGTAAAGAGTCACAAGCATGTGTGAACAAGTTACATGGCGAAGCTCCCCACTTCTCATGTTCTCCTTTGTTTTCTTTGGAGTCTCACGTAGCCCAGGCTCCTTTTGAAGTCCTAGTGCAGGGAGAGGATGACCTTGAGTCTCTGGCTCTTCCACCTCCACTTCCTGCTTTCTCTTTTTTGCCTTGTTCAAACTCTAAGTCTGTGTATCCTGTGTCAAGCTTTACATTTTGAAGAGACATACTATTTGGCTTTTAGAAAAGTAAATTTAAGCCAGGTGTGGTGGCACACACGTATAATCCCAACACTCAGGAGGCTAAGGCAGGAGAATTAACATGAATGAGAGGACAGCCTGGGCTACATAGCAAGGCGCTGTCTCAAAAAGCAGATAAATAAATAATATGAATAAGAAGTATTCTTGTCAAAATGGTATATAGACACAAAAATTGTACATATTAACAGGTACTATGAGATGCTTTTATTTGTATATATACTGCATAATCAGGTTAAACATATCTACCTCTTTAAATAATTATCATTTTTTAGAGTGAAAACCTTCAAAACCCTTCTGGCTTTTTGAGATGTTCTGTGCAGAACTCTCTCTGAAGTCACCCTATTATGCAACCTCATGCTAAAACTTCTTTTAGATTCTTGAGTGGAAACTAGAGCTTCTAAAAACAGTTTCCTCTTTATAGTTACATTTTACCTTCATTTTATTAGGATCCAGTTCATCTAAAAAGCTGCAAGTGCAAAAATTAAAGATAAGCTTTTTTGTTTTTGTTTTTTGCTTTTTTGAGACCGTTTATTTATCTGTGTAGCTCTGGCTGTCCTAGAACTCACTCTGTAGACCAAGCTAGCCTCAAACTCACAGAGATCTGCTTGCTTCTGCCTTCTGAGTGCTGGGATTAAGGCGTGCACTGCCACCACCCAGCGATATATACATTTTAAAGTTGTGTCGGTCTACAGTTTCAAGTACAAGGCAAACAATGTAGTAAGTGCTCTTTCCCTTTTCTATTTCATAATTTTCTTTTTTTATTTTTAAGAAAATGTGGCCCAGGACTGTTAAGAGAAAGGCAGAACAGGCTGGCTAGCTTGTGAAAGGAGCTGACACATAATTGCCCTTCAGGAAGGATGCTTATTAGAGAAATGGCCTCACCATGAGGGCATCTTAGTGGAGAAGCATGGCAAGGGGTGCAGTACAAAGTACCAGAAACAACAAAACAGGGCCGTGAAGGAAAAGAGCTTTCCCTTGAAACCTGGGGATCTCTTTAAAAAGGACAGCTTAGGTAAGAGAAAGCCATCATGGACAGGATGATGTAGTGAGGGAAGCCTCCTTCAGAGAACATCCTCCACACAAAAAGTATCTGGCCCTTAAAATTAGGGAGTGTGTGTTTGTGTGTGTGTGTGTGTGTGTGTGTGTGTGTGTGTGTGTGTGTGTGTATGTGTGTGTGTGTGTGAGTCTGACACCACCTGATTAGTTTGGGACAGCCTATGTTGACAAGAGGAGTGGAGGAGCCAGGTACTGGGTAAGAACAAAAACCAGAGGCTGTAAAAGCACAGCACACACTGCTTACTTCTGTTCTGGGAAGAGAGCTGGGGTGAGATGCGGGGCGTGTGACTCTTTCAGGCTGTGGCTGGCCTAGAACAACCAGCTTCTTAACCGGGCAACAAGAGTGATTTAATACCCATTTTCAACAGAGCTGTACTAGGTTACCCAGGCAAGCCTTGAACTTGCAATCCTCCTGCCTCAGCCACTATGCCTGGCTCTAGTTATTTCAAATACATCATACATATCCATTGACTATTGTGCTATAGGAAACCCAATCTAATGCCTGTGCTCCCTGCACCTCCTCCTTAGTTACTGGCAATATTTGTCAGCGGGTTAACCAACCCCAGTGTCACAGCTCCACACTTCTACTGGCTGGGGACCTGGACATCTCCTTTTTGTGTCTTCGTGCCGCCCATCTGTCTCTTAGCCACCACATTCGGTTCCTAGCTGCTAAGTTTTACATCACCATAAATACCTGTAATGTGTCTCTTCTGAGTCATACTTCCTCTCAGTAAATACATTATTAGCAGTTTTATATTACAGAATGTGTATTTCTAGAAAGCTTCAGATGATTGTTTGTTTATATCACACAGTACGTTAATGAATCACAAAACCAGGACTGGCACAGAGCTCTCCTCAGCTACTAATTTCGTCAAATTTTCACCAAAATCAGTTTCAGGGGGAAAAAAGTTACTAATACCTTTTTATAATTTCTCATGCTTCTGGAATTATTCAGATCACATATTTAGCCAGAGTAAATAGCAACTGTATCATTCCAGAGCTTTCAGTCATCTAGCAGCAGCATCCCTAGAGAAGGCAACTTCAAGCAGCTGCAGACTTAAGGGCGCTATCAGGTTGCTTTAGTTCAAAGCAATCCCACAGTTCTCCCAAAGCTTTTCTTAGCTAGAGCCACCACAGAACAAGCAGTTCGCCAACTCTGGTTCCTTATCATGATCTACTACCTTGAGAACATTTTGTAAAAGCTGGGTTGTTGTTCTGATTTGGTTTTGTAGTTGTTCTGGTGTGTGTGTGTGTGTGTCTGTGTGTGTGTGTGGTGTTTGTTAAACACAGTGGTAATCCCAGCACTTGGAAGGCAGGATTCCAAGTTAGAGGGCAGGCCAGCCTGCAAAGCAAGACCCTGTTGGGGTGCGGGGGTGGGGGTGGGGCAGGGGAAGCAATGCAAAACAAAATACCTGCATTTTAATATTTTATTTTGCTTTAAAATGAAAACTATGCAAAAATTTATTTTAAAACCCCAAATGTGGAGCTGGAAAGATGACTCAGGGGTTAGGAGCATTGGCTGCTCTTCCAGAGGACTCAGGTTCAATTCCCAGCACCCACATGGCAACTCACAACTGTCTGTAACTCCCGTTCCAGGAGATCTGACACCTTCACACAAATGCACATAAAATAAAATTAAATAAATTATTTTTTTTTAAAAAAATCCCAAATGTATGACACACCAACAATAATCAATTTGTCAAAGCTTACATTTCACAGACTTGGAAGATGGCTCAGATAGTTGGCAAAGTGCTTGCCACATAACCATGAGGACCTGAGTTTGGATCCCTAGCACCCACATAAATTCAGGTAGGCATAGGGATACACACATGGAATCCTAGTGCTAGAGACACTAAGATCCCTGGAGCTCACTGGCCAGCAAGTCTTGCCAAATCAGTGAGCCCCAAGTTCAGCAAGAGACCCTATGTCAAAAAATCAGGAGAGGGCCAGACAGGCAGCTCAGGAGGTAAAGGTGCTACCACCAAGACAGACAATCCGAGTTCAATTCCCGAGACCCAAATGGTAGAGAGAACTGCCTCCCAAATGCTGTTCTTTGACCAACACACACACACACACACACACACACACACACACACACACACACACACGAACACATACAAAACAAGTTTAATGTAGTTTTCTAATAAGGAGAGGGCTGGAGGGATTGCTCTGTGGTTAAAAGTGCTTGCTGCTCTAAACTTTAAAGGACACGAGTTTGGTTCTCAGAACCAACACAGAGTAGATCACAACTGCCTGTATCTCCAACTCCTGGAGGATCCCCGACCTCTGACCTTCTTAGACACCTGTACTTGAGTGCACAATACTCACATATACACATTTTTTTATTAAGAAAATGATTACAACTATAATTCCTTTTTACCATAAAATTTTTTCTTTTTTCTTTTTTTTTTTTTTTGGCTTTTCAAGACAGGGTTGTTTCTCTGT